CGACACTACACATAATCCAGAAACAAACAAAAACCCTCCACTTATCCTCGTATTTTCTGTGTAACCAAATCTCATATTGTGTTCACAAAAACTCGTCAACTCAGTGTATCAATAAACTTTAAGTCAATACAATACACTGTAAACCAATACACGGTAGGCAGCACTCAATCCACGAGACACATCTAAGAACACTTAATCTTCCAAAAAAAATAATTTTTCCCGTGGGAATGACCTATTTCAATATCAATTTTCCCTTTTGTATTTAAGAGACACGTAACCGCCATAACAATATATGTGTGGTTATATTAATTTTATAAACAGGGAGTACAAAATCGAACTCCAAACTAAAAAAAAATATGTAAATATCCAGATTCTTTGAATATTGAGTTTAAATTGACAAGGGTTAAAAGCATCATTTATTGCATGGAATCCTCAGTATGTATCGAAATGACAGGAAAATAGTCAAGAAACATGGGTGCTTATTAAAAAACACACCACAATCTGCAGAAACATGGGTGCCTATTAAAAAAACCATGTGACGTTAATGTAGACTCCCGTAGAAAAAAAGAATTGCCCACCAAGTGAGCGCAAAAAAAAAAATGTGTATAATAGTGCGGAATATTATTAGTACTTAATAAATTTACATGCGGTTTTTTGCTGACTTTCCTCATAGTATTTCTATATCCTAACTCCCCGGTCAACAGGTGTAAATTGGGGGGGGGGGGGGGGGGGGGAGGGGGGGGATTCTTAAAAACAAATAAGTGGGTAGAGTGCTGTAATCTGAAAGTGGTTGTAACTGTTAGATATGGGATTTTGTTGATGAAAGTGCAAATAGTCAATATAATTTTGATTTAGTGTGTACCATGTTGTCAGGGTTTATTTTAGTGTGTACCGTTTTGTCAGGGTTTAGTTTAGTGTGTACCGTGTTGTCAGGGTTTATTTAGTGTGTACTGTGTTGTCATGGTTTAGTTTAGTGTGTACCGTTTTGTCAGGGTTTAGTTTAGTGTGTACCATGTTGTCAGGGTTTAGTTCAGTGTGTACCGTTTTGTCAGGTTTATTTTAGTGCGTACCATTTTGTCAGGATTTATTTTAGTGCGTACCGTGTTGTCAGGGTTTATTTTAGTTGTCAGGGTTTATTTTAGTGTGTACCGTGTTGTTAGGGTTTCGTTTAGTGTGTACCGTGTTGTCAGGGTTTATTTTAGTTGTCAGGGTTTATTTTAGTTGTCAGGGTTTATTTTAGTGTGTACCGTGTTGTTAGGGTTTATTTTAGTGTGTAGGCTACCGTGTTGTCAAGATTTTTTTTAGTTTGTACCGTGTTGTCAGGGTTTATTTTAGTGTGTACCGTGTTGTCAGGGTTTATTTTAGTGTGTAAAGTGTTGTCAGGGTTTATTTTAGTGTGTACAGTGTTGTCGGGGTTTATTTTAGTGTGTAGGCTACAGTGTTGTCACGTTTTTTTTAGTTTGTACCGTGTTGTCAGGATTTATTTTAATGTATACCGTGTTGTCGGGGTTTATTCTAGTGTGTAAAATCTGTGAGAATGGGAGTATTAAAATTTGCTGACATTATTTACCGTGCACTTGCCATGAATAAAAGTGTGATTGTTTGTTTTTCGGCCGGAGGATAACGAGTAAAATTGCCACATCAATCACTTACTAAACCAACAACCTAGCATTTAATCTTAAAACGACATTTTCTGATTGGGTAGCACGTTTATCCATCCCACCCTGTTATTCGCACGTTCGAAATGATATAACACTGATCAATTATTGTCACAGCATTATACAAACTATACCTGGCATTGTTACATGCTTTTATCCAACTCCTTTGACGTGCGTCTAAACAAAAATGAATCTTAAACCAACAAACGTTGTTTGATTAGTGCAGCTTGACATTTGGTGTCACCACTTTAGTTGATGTCTACCAGTGTGGCCTGCCCCACCCCACCCCCTCTAAGTGGCGGATTGAAACGAGGGTTGAGACGGATATAGCCCAGGGTCCTGTTTTGTTTTTACAAACCATATTAAATGTAACTTTACTACAAAATTGTAAACCTTTACTACAAAAACCAAGGTTTATATTTAAATTACAAGCGTTTTCCATTTTGTTTAATAAACATCAAACACGTGCACTCTCTCTGATAAAAATGGCAGCTGCCGTCACCTCCTATCATGACATGTTTACATAACGCCGACGACCCCCAATAATATAGTCCGGACCAGCGTTCTCTTATGACAATAAAAAAAAAGTTGATTTCAGAGTTTAAGAAACACGGTCAACAGCCAAATTCTGAGACACTACTTTACGTTTGAACCCGCTTACAAATTGACAGCAAGTTCAGTGGCGGAACTAGAAAAAAAGGGCTACCCCGCAAAATAATTGTCATATATATCATAAATGATCATATTATATATATATATATATATATATATATATATATATATATATATATATATATATATATATATATACATAATACGAAAATAGGATGATCATTCAGGCCTAACCGGGTTTTGAAAAAAAAATGTCTTGGTTTTTTTCAATTAAAACAAATTACTACATATCATGTGTGTGAGTGCATTATTCTCTTACCGGTCAAAAGAATATAAAACATGAAAGCTTTGAATGGTTTCTGGTGTTCTCTTTTGTTTTTGTATGTTTATTTTTTTTTTTATTTATATTATTTAATTGTTAATACATTTCCTTTTTATACTATGTCATTCTTATGTATTTAAAAAAAATTATGAGAAGTAATTGCTTTTTAATTTGTTTAGTACAAATCTATTACAAGGAGCTTATAGTAACCCTATTTAACTATTTTAAAAAGGGAAATAAGTCATGGAAGTGTTTTGAACGTTTTCCTATCTTTCACACTACAGCTCATGCTTATATTTTTTTTTACACAACAGCATGTGTTAGCTACTGTACAACATCAGTACTGTAGTAGATCTGTTTGTTATTTACAAAATAGGGGGGGGGCTGACTTTTTGGGACAATGTGTGACGGAGGAGAGTGGGGGGGGGGGGGTAGAAATCGTCAAAAAAGCGTCATGTCATTTATGAATGACCCCCAAAGTAAAAATAATTAAATGTACATACAACCGAAATTATTGTTATTATATTCTTTCTGATTATTTGTAGAATACATGCTAGTACAGAATAGTAGTTCTACCAATACAAAATAAATACAGTAGAATCACCATGGATTGTGGGCCCTAACCAACGTTATAAAGAAGCAAAAGTCGTCTTAATATCTAGCGGCCTCTTTTCTAAAGAATGTTGCCGCCAACAGCTATTGTTTGATTGTAGAAGAAAGAGGACTCGGCTTTCACAGTGGTTTAAAAATAAAGAGCGTGGGATGGTGTCTATAGAATAAAGATAATCCAACCGCAGGTACAGTATTCTTTTTTTACAAAAGAAGTAAAAAATGCTAGAAAATTATTTTTTTTAACTATACAAAAATTGATTATGGTAGGCAGTGGGCCCCTAAATGGCGTGCCCCCCCCCCCCCTCGGCATTGCGGTGTCTGGCGGCACTGTAGTTCCGCCCCTGACAGCAAGTGAAAGTTCTATCCAACATTTCGTCCGATCACGTGGTGAGGTTGTAGGGCCTAACCAACACTTTAAAAGCTGTTTCAAATGATAAGCATATTGTCTAATCTGTGAATTAGCTCTCACTTGCATGCATTCAGACAAGGCTCACCCTAGCAATTAATGAACTAAGCCAGGAACTTCTATAATAACCTGCTACATTAACAAAAGAGGTAGGGAAAGATGATTTACATTTTTGTTTTGAGAGATTTTGTATAATAATGTTTTTACTGAGTATCAAGTTATTTGTATTAAACTCTCTTAGATGTATTATGGAAGTCACTATCAGTTAGCCTTGTATATGGTATCATGTTGTTTGTATTAAGCTCCCTTAGATGCATTATGGAAGATATAAGTCTCTCGCAGTTAGCATTCGGGCCTGGTGATATAATTAAGCAGGTGATGTTGAGTTCACCTGTTTCTGTGACCTCAGCGAGTGAAGGAACAGTTTGATCAGTTCTACGAACAGCTGCCTTTAGTTTTACTAACTTGAGAGGCACCTGCAATAGCTGGGTAATAGCTGGAATCATAATTCGAGACGATTTGGTTAGTAGTCGTACGTTCGACCACTCCATCCCACTGCTCTCTCTACCCCCCCCCCCCCCCATCCTCTCTTTCTTAATTAAGTGAATAGACATGACATTGTAAACTCGTGATTGCTAATTTTTGTTAATTACAAAAGATAATGACTGGTTATTTAGCTTGTAATTTCCTTGATGCAAAAGTGAAATATCTTGAAGATATCAAATGGGCATAGTGCTGACCACACTATCTTCATATGCCGAGGTCTCAGAAACAAGTGAACTCTACTTCACTTGCCCCATAGACCGTCAGGTTTGAAAGGGAAACTTTACTTAGAGTGAAATTTCTTGAAGATATCAAATAAGGTTAATTCACATGGGGATGGGATAGGAACTGGCACATTCGACTTTAGTGGATGCATGTTGACGGTGTGCAGCGGGTGTGGGGGGGGGGGTGGTGATGGAAGAGATCGGGTTGTTGTGGACTTCAAAGTAACAATAGGTAATGTTGATACGAAAACAAGAATGTGCGAACAAAGAAAGAACCTTTGTGGCTAGAGATATGGACGGTAGGTAGGGCAGACTTTATAGATACTAAGAGAGTTAAAGGATATGTATATATATATATATATATATATATATATATATATATATATATATATATATATATATATATATATATATATATATATATAGGTTATTTTGTCACGGCAGCTGTATTTATATCTAGCCGTCGTCGGCTACGCATTGCTCCAGCCACTTATAGCCATGTCCAAGTGTAAATGTTAACGCAGACGTGTGTGATTGTTTACACAATGTTTTTAGAAACATTAAAGAGCATTACGGAAAGCTGCGCCCCTGTACAGATGGAGATTCTAATTTGAACTACTCAC